ATGCATGGCAGAGTCCCCCACAGCATAGCACTGCCCAGCCCAGTATGTCCACACGGCCAGGATCAGGAGCCCTGACATCCTCCGGGTCTGGCCAAGAGCAGTATCCAAGGTCCCAGCCTCTGAGGAGGCAGTATTACAGCTCTACGCAGAGCACTTGGCCAGCAGTTGGTGGCCTGTTGGCTCCCAGTTCTGCCTGACCAGCTGTGTGGCCTTGAACAAGTTACTGAACCGCTCTGAGTTCACCTTTCCCATCCTACAAAAATGAACAAGTTACTGAACCCCTCTGAGTTCACCTTTCCCATCCTATGAAAATAGAAATTACAAGACATACCTTTAGACGAAAGCAAAGTCTGCGATTGCCTCTAGAAACAGGGCTGTCCTGTGCTTTAATCAGCAGCATTCCCCAGGCCAGGAATGCCACAGGGCGCAGACAATTATCAAACCAGGCTCCAGGGTCCTGTAAGGTGAAGGCTATCGCAGTTGGGAGGAGAGGGAGAGGCATGAAGTGTGTGGAATCTGGGGAGAGCCTAGACAGAAATCAGGCAGGCTGGATTTACACAGCGCCTCTGAGCTCTGGCTGTGTGTCACGGCACAGTATCCTGTCCCTCTGGGGACAGAGCTTCTTTGTCCATTAAATAAGGGAGGTCAATGGAGATCTCCAAGGACTGTTGTGGTGTGTGGAAGTCATTGCTGATCCTGACTTAACCCACTTCCTTAGTAACCCTGGGCAAGTTCCTTATGCTTCCTGTGCCCCCGTTTCCTCTTTTCTAAAATGGGGGCTGGACGCCGTGGCTCATGCCTCTAATCCCAGCATTTTGGGAGGCCAAGTAGGGAGGATCACTTGAGTTCAGGAGTTTGAGACCAGCCTGGGCAACATGACGAAACCCTGTCTCCATTAAAATACAAAAAATTAGCCTGGCATGGTGTGCACACCTATAATCCCCGCTACTCGGGAGACCGAGGCAGGAGAAACGCTTGAACTCGGGAGGCGGAGGTTTCAGTGAGCCGAGGTCATGCCACTGCACTCCAGCCTGGGTGACAGAGCTAGACTCTGCCTCCAAAAAATGAAATAATATGAAATAAAACAAAATGGGGCTGTGGCACTTGCACCTCAAGGTCATTACAGAGTTAAGTGGAGCTGCAGAGAGCAAGGACTCAAGACCCAGCTGGCCAAGCTGAGGGATGCTGGCTTTTCCTGTTTGCTGACCTTGGGCATGAGCCTAACCTCTCTGGGCTTTGGTTTCCTCATCTGTAAAAGGAGGATAGTAGCATTACCACCTCACAGGATTGTTACAAGAAAGCAATGAGTTAACACACGTGTGTGCTTAGAACAGTTCTTGGCATATGCTAAGCACCTTGTACATGCTTGCTATCTTTCTGATTCTTTCAATGATGATGATGTAGGAAAGTGCTTGCAACGGGCTGGGCGCATGGTGGATGTTTAATAATTCATGGTTGCATTCACACGATGTCAGTCCCTCGTCACTGGGAGTCATCCTGTGCCCTGACTTGGGGCCTGGCCTTCTGTCTCTGTCTTGCAGGACAATGCCATTCTCTGTCTCATGGGGTGTCCTCGTGCTGGCAGGCCTGTGCTACCTGGTCCCCAGCTCCCTGGCTGAGGATCCCCAGGAAGATGCTGCCCAGAAGACGAATACATCCCACCATGATCAAGGGGACTGGGAGGACCCTGCTTGCCGGAAGATCTCCTATAATATCATCGACCTCGCCTTTGATTTGTACAAAGAGCTGGCTGATCTATCACAAACCAGCAATATCTTAGTCGCCCCAACGAGCGTGGCTATGGCCTTTGTAATGCTCTCCCTGGGGACTAAGGCTGACACTCGCACGGAGATCCTGGAAGGCCTGAATTTCAATCTCACGGAGACGCCTGAGGCCAAGATCCACGAATGCTTCCAGCAAGTTCTCCAAGCTAGGCCAGACACCCGGCTCCAGCTGACCACCGGCAGTAGCCTGTTTGTCAACAAGAGTGTGAAGCTAGTGGACACGTTTTTGGAGGATATCAAGAAACTGTACCACTCAGAAGCCTCCTCCATCAACTTCAGGGACACCGAGGAGGCCAAGGAGCAGATCAACAACTATGTGGAGAAGAGAACTGGAAGAAAAATAGTGGATTTGGTCAAACATCTGAAAAAAAACACAAGTCTTGCCCTGGTGGATTACATTTCCTTTCACGGTAAGGTGGCACCACCTGCCCAAGCCCGTTCCACTGAAATAATCCAAACATATTCTCAAACTACTAGTTCTTAAGCTTTCCTAGACAACGTACTATGAGATATGGCAGGGCAGGGCATTTAACATGGATTCTGCAATTTTCCAAACACGAACAGTAAAATACTTTCCATGATCAAATAAGATTGAAGAATGATGAGTTCAAGACAGCCAAACCATCATCTTCCCTACAGACCTTGTCAGAGCCTTTATTGTCCTAATACTCATTGGAAATCCCTAACAGGTAGGGGACAGAATATGAAATGCTTCCCACATGCTAAAGCCAGAAAAATGTTTTGTAGCACATGCATAAAGGGATAGTTCCATGGAAACATACTTTAGACGGCTCTAGTATCCCAGAAGCAGCGTCAGCTTTGTGGTCTAAAATATTGGGTTTCAAACCCTGCCTCTACCACTTACTAGCTTTTGATAAAGGACAATGCATTCTACCTCTCTGAGGTGCTAATTTCCCATCTTAGCATGGACAAAATAGCATCCTTGCTGTCAGGTTGTTTTAAGGATTAAACAAGTGACAAAGACCGTGGGGACAGTGTGTGGCATACAGCAGGTGATAGACTCTTCTGTATCTCAGGCTGCCTTCCTACCCCTGAAGGGTTAAAATGTCCGGGTCCTGGGGGCCCCAGGGCATTCTAAGCCAGCTCCCACTGTTCCAGGAAAACAGCACAGGGGAGGGGAGGTGGGAGGCAGGGCCAGGGGCTGCTTCCTCCACTCTGAGGCTCCCTTGCTCTTGAGGCAAAGGAGGGCAGTGGAGAGCAGCCAGGCTGCAGTCAGCACAACTGAGGTCCTGGCTCTGCTGTGGCTTAGGGCAGGCCCCGGTCCCTCTCCAGCCCCAGTCTCCTCCTTCTGTCCAATGAGAAAGCTGGGATCAGGGGTCCCTGAGGCGCCTGCCCACTGGGCATGCCTCGATGGTGAAGCTGTCTTGGTATGGCAGAGGGGAGGCTGCCTAGGCACCTGCGTTTCCCCTGCCGCTCCAGGGAAAGGCCTCAGGAGTACTAAGCAGAATGTGTCCTCGTATCTCGAGGGAGCCAGCCCTCTGCATGAGACAGGAAGCCTCCAGTCAGAGGTGGCAAGGCATAAGGAGTTCCGGTTTTCCTCATTAACTTTCATTAACCATTCCCAAGCCACTATAGGATAAACAGAGTCAAATGTAAATGCTGCTTAGAAACTCTGGATTCTTCTTTATCTTCAGGTGATTCTCACAAAAGCTCTCCAGCAGCCGGATAGTTTCATTTGAATCCCATTTTACAGAGGATGAAGGTGAAGCAGAGGGAAGTGTCTCGTCAAAGGGGCTCAGGGTTCCTTTCATTCACACACTTCCACCCTTTTATCGCATACCTGGGTGATGCCCACCTTCCTTTTTCTTCCCAGGCAAATGGAAAGATAAATTCAAGGCTGAGCGCATTACGATAGAGGGCTTCCATGTGGATGATAAGACCATCATCAAAGTGCCTATGATAAACCACCTGGGCAGATTTGAGATCCACCGGGACAAGGAGTTATCCAGCTGGGTGCTGGCACAGCACTATGTGGGGAACGCCACTGCCTTCTTCATCCTGCCTGACCCAAAGAAGATGTGGCACTTGGAAGAGAAACTGACCTACAGCCACCTTGAAAATATCCAGAGAGCCTTTGACATAAGGTGATTTCCAGTGCAGGGGCTGAGCTCAGACCTTTGAGCCATGTCAGGAGTGAGGCCCATCAGGACTGGCCAGAGGGCTGGGGAGGGTGGACCCCACATCCCTGGGTCACAGCTACTGCAGCCGACAGAGGCCACCACTGAGTTCAGGTAGCGCCATCCATGGTCCATGAGGAGGTAAAGGTCTTGTCACTCCAGCGTGGACGCTCTCCCTTCCCAATATCCAGTGCCCAGGGCAGGGACAGCAGCACCACCACACATTCTGGCAGAACCAAGAAGGAACAGATGGGCTTCCTGGCAAAGGCAGCAGGGGAGTGTGGAGTTCAAGGGTAGACTGTCCCTGTGGGGATGGGGGAAGAGCCTGTGTGGCTAGGCCCAGAAAAGCAAGGGTCGGAATTGGAACAGCCAGGGCACGTTAGCAGAAGGCTTGAGTTTCTCTGTCACTTTATCGGTGCTGTTAGATTGGGTGCCCTGTAGTAAATGATACTTGAGCATAAGCCACACATTAGTGTATCTGTGCATTCGTAATTATGCCCATGTCCTCTTGATCTGGTTTATTTTTATTTTTACACTGTAAAACCAAGATGAAAATACGAAAGGTCTCAGGTTCATAGTAAGTATGGAGGCTGGAATTTCTCTGTCCCATGCAAACGCCTCCTGAGGTCCCTGCTCCAGGGGTTGAGAAAGAACAAGGAGGCTGAGAGGGTAACGGATCAGAGCCCAGAGCCAGGCTACCCGCTCACACCAGACCCTGCCCGGGGCGGCTCTGTCTCCCCATGGAAAACAAGAGGGGAACACTCAGCCTGGTGTGGTCAGTCTTCTATCATACCTTGAATGGATGTCACTGGGTACTGCTGCCAGCCCCATGTTCCCCTGGGTGTGAGGCCCTGGGGATGTTCCAGGCTGGGGGCCAGGTGACCCAACACTACAGGATGAGACACGCTTCCAGGACACCTAGAATCTGCCTGGAGGGCTTCTCAACGGAGGTGGCATTTCAAACTGCCTTAACAAGATGATTAGTTTGGTATTAACATTCTTTGATTCTGGGTATAGAGGAGCTCAAAGAAAAACAAACCAAGGTCAACTTCCGATTGCTTTATTTTATTTTTTTAAATTTTTCTTTTAGGTTCAGGGGTCCATGTGCAGGTTTGTTATATAGGTAAACCCTGGGGGTTTGTTGTGTAGATTATTTCGTCACCCAGGTACTACGCATAGTATTCAATAGTTGTTTTCTCTGATCCTCTCCCTCTGACTTCTGATCTTGATATGGGTGAGGACACGGCACTAAGTGGTAGAAACAGTCAGGAAAGAAAGCCCTGGTACTGTGGTGGGTTCCAGAAGAACAGGAGAAATGCTGCTCCATGCCTTGATTCTCTTTCCTGCATGGCAGGTCTGTCAGTCTACATTTCCCCAAACTGTCCGATTCTGGAACCTATGAACTCAAGAGAGTCCTCAGGAATCTGGGCATCATCAAGATCTTCAGCAACGAGGCCGACCTCTCTGGAGCCAGTCAGGAGGCACCCCTGAAGCTGTCCAAGGTGAGGTCACCCAGAAGACCGTGTGGTCCCCTGGTGTCAGCTGGCAGATTGTGTGGCAGTCACAGCTCCATCCTGAGGCTGAGGAAGGGGCTAAGAGACACAAAGGAAGACCCAGGCTGAGCCCTGAGGATGCCCGAGATTCACTGAGACGGGCCACGGCCCGACGGCGGAGCTGGGGAGGTGCCTCCTGTGCAGCTGGCACTTTCAGGGCCTCGCCTGCTATTGTGTCACTGATCCTTTGCCCAGGACCTTCTAGTTCTGGGCCTTAATTTATCCGTATTGATACAAAAAAGCTTAGGCTCAGTCATTTTGAAAGCCTTTTTGGCCCCTCTCATCTGTGAGATTTGGAGTTTTTGGTGCATCACCAAGCCTGAACCAATGAGTGATTCGAGCAAAAGATGACACTAATTTAGGAAAACTAAAGGTGACCAAAGAGCAACTGCAGTTCCGTGAATGGCTGCGTTATTTCGGGGTCTGGGCACCGTGAAGGTCACTGTTAGAGTCCACGTCCCCAAGGAGCTTAAAGCTGGGTACTAGAAAGGAGAGAGCCCTGGAAGCAGACGTGCAGCGGGGAGTTGGGGGTGCACCCTGAGCAGGGGAGAGGCACTTGTAGGGAAGGTGGACAGCGGGGAGCCAGCCCCATCACCCAGAGCCTTGATAGGGAGCAAGGCCTGTGTGACAGGGAGGGAGAGGACGTGGAGGGTCAGGGCCACCCGAGTGGAGAAAGGCTGGAGTGAGTGCCTCACCTCCCAGGATACGGCTGTCCACATGGGCGTTGCTCCAGGCCTGGGCTGGGGCAAAGCTCAGCCTCGGAATGTATCTCTGCTTCTCTCCGCTCCAGGCTGTGCATGTGGCTGTGCTGACAGTTGATGAGAAAGGGACCGAAGCCACCGGAACCTTCCATTTGGAAGAGAAGGCCTGGTCTAAGTATCAGACAATCATGTTCAACCGGCCCTTCCTGGTCATCATCAAGGATGACATCACCAACTTTCTGCTCTTCATTGGAAAAGTGGTGAATCCCACCCAAAAATAACTGCCTGTCACTCCTCAGCCCCTCCCCTCCATCCCTGGCCTCCTCCCTGGATGACATTAAAGAAAGGCTGACCTGCCCCCTGCCTGCGTGTGATTGCAAACCCCTCCCCTGTTGTTTCTGAGTCTCCCTTTGTGCGCTGAGGCCGTGTGTGGACTCCAGGTCCCCCTCAACTGTGTTCATGGAGCACCTGGCTGGGCAGGCACGTGCTGGGCCAGGATGGAGGGGGCTGAATCCTCAGTTTAAGGGCCTGGACCTGGGAGCTTATGGAAGAGCAAGGGGCTACCAGGAGTGGCCGCCAAGTTTGGGTCACCCGGAGAGAGCCGGGCCTGGGCATGAGTGCTAGGAGAACGCTGTGGCACTGTGGGACCCAGAGAAGCCACATTGCTGAGCCTCCTGTTCTCACAGGCAGCATGAGGAGAGAACGCCCCCACCCTGTGAGTGCAAAGCAGGCTGTCAGAGGCGTCGGCGGGGCCACTGCCACACCTTCCCTCCCCGCCAGGCCCTAACCCAGGGGTCGGGGAAGCCATATGTGCAGCCTTTGGTGGCATCCATGTGGCCCAGAGTGAGAGGGGCTCCACCGTGTGTGTGTTTGTGTGTGTCTGTGTGTGTGTGTGGCTGCGTGGGTGTGTCTCTGTGTGTGTGTGTCTCTGGGTATGTCTGTTTGTGTCTATGTGTGGGTCTCTGTGTGTGTCTGTGTGTCTGTGTATGTGCGTCTCTCTGTGTGTGCATCTGTCTGTGTGTATGTGTGTGGTTGCGTGGGTATGTCTGTGTGTGTGTGTCTGTGTGCGTATGTCTGTGTGCATGTGTCTCTGTGTGTGTGACCATGTGTGTCTGTGTGTCAGTGTCTGTGAGTGTGTGTGTTTGTGTCTGTGTGTCTAGGTATTTCTGTCTTTGTGTGTGTCTGCATATGGCTGTGGATATGTATGTGTGTGTCTGTGCGTTTGTGTGTCTGTGTGTCCCTGAGTCAATGTGAGTCTAAGTCTGTGTGTCTGTGTGTCTGAGTCTATGTGTGTCAGGGTCCCTAGGTGTTCCTGTGTGCTTGTAGGTGGTTGTGGGTGAGGCTGTGTGTGCGATGTTTCTCTGTTTGTGTGAGCGTGTGTCTGAGTCTAGATGTGTCTATGTGTCTAGGTGTTTCTATCTAGACTGAAGATGTGTCTGCGGCTGTGAGTGCGTCTGTGTGTGTGTGTGTTTCTGTGATTGTGTGTCTCTGAGTCGGTGTGTGTCTGTGACTGTGTGTGTTACATGAAACAGAAGCAGATGTAGTGAGAATGAGGGGGTCTAACTCTCTTTATCCTGAAACAAGGACCCCTCACTGGGGTGGAGAGAACCAGTCCTTCCCAGTCACACCCAGGAGCCCTCGGGTGGCGCTTGGCAGCTGGTGTCACCACCCTAAGTGCCCACACAAATGGGCTATGGAGCCAGAGCAGCGAGGATTCCAGCTCCTGGTGAGAGATTCCCAGGCCAGGGTCTTGGTAGACACAAGCCTGGTGACTTCAGGCAGCTGGCAATTACTGGGCATCTTCCAAGGGTCGGGCACGGTTCCAGGCCCCTAGCGTGTACGAATTCCTTGACTCCTCTCCTCACTTCTCAGAGGGCGTGTCAAGGAGAGAGGAACCCGGATCTTGGACGGCCACGGGGCTTCCTTCCTCCCACACTCCCACATGGCGGAACAGCGCAGGCTGGTTCTGCTGGACTGAGCCCATCCAGGGAAGAACAGCGAGACCCTCGGGTGAGATCGGACTCACTGGAGACAAACACCTTGACAGGAGCTGGAGGAGCCCCAGGCTGATTTCTGGGAATGGGGGTTCCTGGACACAGGCACTGAGCATCCCCACACCCCCCGAGACTGGCCCATGAGCACGAGAAGCCCTGAGAGTGCGTGGGGGTGGCCTGTGTGCAAGGCAGCGCAGCGAGCCTCTCTACAGAACCCACAGGCTGCGCTGGGTGAGGAGTTCTCCCTCAGCCTCCTCTGGAGCTGACACTGGAGAGAGCACCATGAGCCTCCCTGCCTGGATTATTGTCTGCACTTAATATAGAAGGAAACTGAGGCACACAGAGTTTTAACTCCTCTTGGCCGGAGTGAGGATCTGAACCCAGGCGTCTGAACCTTGGTGATCCTGCAGGGCAGAGTGAGTTGTGGGATGGAATTGCATCTCTCACAAAGTGCCCAGCACAGGGTGGGCCCCTACAGAGGGTAAGAGCTGGGGGGCGGGGCTCAGTCGGGTGTGATTTTCCCGTTCTCCTGCCCTCCCCGGGCTGGGACTTCCCTGTGGTGTCCTGGTGTTCACCTGTGTCTCCACCTGCAGAGCCAGGAAGGACTCAGCCTTGGGGATGCCGCCCAGCTCTGCAACAGGCCCCACTGCCTCAGGCTTCTTCTTTCTTATGCAACCCCTTCGAAACTCCAGCCTGAGAAACCCCAGAGTCCAAGACCTTGTGCCCCCCACCCTAAGTGTCTCAGAGGAGGAAAGAGTGTCCTTTTAGCTCTGGCCCCTCAGAGCTTGTTACCCAGATTCCAGAGGACACTATGTCTTCTCCCCACGGCTCTCTGGGCCCCACCCTTCCGTCCCAAGGGGACTCTACCTTTGATCTCTTGTTTAGAACTCCTGGCCTGAAAAGGAGATATGTATTCATTAACTCCTCAGATGACCTGGTGATCTTTTCCATCACCTTCTCCCTCTCTCTTATCTGGGTTCATGGCCCCATCCTTTACCTACTGGGGCCCTCACTGTTTCCCTGGCGTGTATCTCTAACTCTACAGCTCATCTGATATAAAAGGTAGTTATTTCCTAGGAGGAAATTTAAGAGATAGAGCCAGCAATGACAAAAGAGAGACCTTTCCGGAGGTGGGTCAGAACACTTAATTGAGTGTTTAGAGTTTTTTAGGAGAGATAAATAAAGAGGACATGAGTAACAAAAGGGTAAATTGGGGAGGCCACACAATGAGGAGAAAGCTTTGGGATCTGTATTCTTGTGGACCACAATGAGCTCAGGAGTTAAGGGATAAAGTCCAGGGTAAATAACGGTGTTGAGACCTCTGGGTATATCAAATATTAAAACAGAAATATCAATGTTCTGGAAGAAAGTATGAGGCGATTTATTTTCTTAATTTTTTAAGTGGATAAGGCCTTTCTAAAGAAGGCAGAAAACCCAAAAATCATAAAGCAAATACTGATAATATTTACCCTTATAAAATGCAAACTGAATTAGATTTGATTTACTTTTACTCTCTCAAGAGCAAAGAAAGTCCTGTAAATCCTGCCAGGTAATGTCAGGAGTTTGTTTTAGATGGTGGCAACTGCCTGAATGACTTAATTTGCTGTCTCATGCTTACCATTTAGAATGTTAATTTTTGCTCTTGGAAGATGTTCAGAAACAAGCAAGGGGGGAAAAAAGTAAAAGATCTAAATTATTTATATATGTGCATAACCAAACCAAAATGAGACCAAAATCAGATTGCCCACAAATTTTAAGCCAGGTGTGCAGATGAAACAAAACCTTAAATCAGGCAAGCAGAATTAACCAAAAGTGAATTCACGAAAAGACATGCCTCACAGAATGTAAGTTCTACAGAAACCAGAAGAGTATACTCACCATAGAGATGAATGTCTTTGTACCAGAAAAGGCTTGTCAGAAATGCCAAAAAGTCTCTTATCATCCTGGGAGGAATATGAGGTTCTTTATTTAAGATGGCCTTACTGGAATCAGATCTCAAGTAAAGTCAAAGAGCTTCTACAAAAATGGAGGCTTTGCCTGAGAGACGACTCACCAGTCTGCGACTCCTGGTGAGTCCTTAGACCAGAGTTCAGAGGGCTCAAGCGAGTACTGAACACCAGTCTCAAGAATCGCAGATGCCCACTGAAGGTGATCTTGCTTCAGGTCCCACTTCTGAATCCAGTTATGCCAACCTATACAACACACAAAGACGGAGAGTCTCTAAAAGCAAGTGGTGTGTATTCAGGAATGGGCAATGCAATGAGAATACAATCATAAGCTATGTGCATATTCAGAAAGGTAAAGAAGACAAGGATTTTTAAAGGAAAAATATGGAGGATTACATAAATGTTTTGAGATAACTATCCTTGGCTATGAGGATCCGTAACACCTTTGTTACGGATCCTCAGTTTTTGGGCAAGATACCCAGGTAATTAATCTGCAAGGTACTAACTTGGAAGACGAATGCCTGATATTCATAGGCCATAAAAATGGTTAACAAAGAAATAGCTTGAAATAATAACTGGCTTTGTTTAATATATCAGTTTTCATAAGGAATCTGGGTATAATTATTAAAAAATAAATAAGGTAAATTTAAATGACATAAACACTTATAAATAAACTTCATAGTTTCAAAAATCTTGTTGGTAATTTTAAATCTTAAAGTTATGTTAAATCAAGTAATAGATATTTATGAAATGTCTGGGTTATTTTCAAATAAGATAAAATACTGAAACATAAATTTCTGAACACAAATATAAGCTTGTTCTTAGCTTCTTAAGTTCTATAGAAAGATTAAATATATTTGGGTCTATTAATATATGTAAAAAATCATGTTAAGGGAAAACAGATTTCTAAAATTACAAAATGGTTCTCATCTACGAAATATTGATATGTAACAGACAGTTCCAAATTTCTTGCTTTCTAGGTTTTCATTAGAAATAAAGTTACTAAGAGTTAAATTTTTAATTAATGTATATAATTTTGTATACAAAATGTACAAAAAAGTAAAATGTGTATTTGATGAGAAAAATTATGACAGGCATAAAACTATGCTCTTTATTGAGAAAAAAGGTTATTTAAGGATTGTTTTAAATATGAATTTGGAAAGGAAATATTAACAGGGTTGAAAGAAACCGGTAAGTAGAAGAGAGATGTGAAGAAAGTTATAAGTATAAAGATGCATTATTGGTAAGAAAGTTTTAAAAAGAGAGGAGAATAACTTTTCAAAATAGTAAGAAAAAAAATCAATTTTTGTCCTAAAGTAAAGTGACTATTTTTTAAAAAAGAGGAAGTATAGGATAAAACTAAACTATTAAGTGTGTCATCAAAGGTCTGTGCAGGTCGCGAAAGGTTTTTAAAGGATGAATTTATGAAAGGAATTTTGTATGCAATCAAGTTGGCTACCATTAAAAAGAAATTATAAGTCTTTCTAAAGATTGAGCTTTGATAAAATGGATGGATAGATAGATGATAGATAGATAGATAGATAGATAGATAGATAGATAGATAGATAGAGATACATAGATAGATATAAAACTAAGATTTTGGTCACCTATGTTAGAGCAACAAAATCGTCTTGAAGTATTGATCTGATCAATCCGATCTTAGTAAAATTTGCAAGAGGTTTTGATTTTGAATTCTGAACATTTTCAGCAATCTTCTAAACTGAAGACTTTTTCTTTTTTCGTCTTCATTTTATTTCCTGGCTTCAGGGGAGAAATGTTGTCATCTTCATTGACAATGGTAATTTCCTTTCTCAAGGTAAAGTTTTCCTCTTGAAGCTTCTCAGATTCGTATCTCAGTTCAACTTTTGCTGTACCTTAAAGTCTGGGATTTGCCATACATCATTGACTTCTACTCTTCCTCTTTCTCCACTCTTCCTCTTCTCTCCTATCATCATTTTCCCTGGTTCGAACCCTGCTGTTGTGGCCTGACATGAAAATATTTGTCTTGAAGGTCTAGAAAAGCAATGTTTCTCTCCAGTATAATTCAATTCTGAATTCTTGGGTTTTCTTGATGTGTCTGAATTGTTTCCTGTAACCAGGCAAGTTCATATGCTTTCACTTTTTCTAAGAGCCATGCATTCCCCTGCTTGAGGTACTGATTTTTTTGTTTACTTATTCTATGATATGGTGTATACTCATAACCTTGAACACATTCTTCTTCTGACTAAATTCAAGTACCCTTTCATAAAGCTTGACTTCCAGTTTATCTACATGAGCTTCTTGTAAGGGGAAGCAATCACACTGCAAGAGGTTTATTTTTACCTACTGGCAATTGGCCTAGGAAAAAATACTTTTGTCATTTCCAGTCCTTCATGTTGTCTTTATTAGTTTTTGGTTTGTATGTTTGTTTGTTTGTTTGTTTTTGAGTTACTTAGGGAAACTGAGCTTTGAAAGGATGAAGGGCTTTTTTTTTTTTCACATCCATGTAACTTTCTTTATTGCTTTTGATGTCTTTGATGATCACTCTAGCTAAATGAGTGACTATTATTTCCATGGTAAACTGTGATTCTGTTTTGATTGCTTTGAACCTTTGACAGCTTTGACAGGCTTCCTAAGGATTAAGTTCTAAATTAAATTTTTCTGACCTAAAATTATCTTTGAAATTTTCCAGTTGAACCCCTGGAGAGCTTCAGTGGGTATATCTCTCATCTTGTAGAGATACTAAATGATTAGCTTTATTGGGTAACTTGTATGGGAAGCATTTTCAAATTATAAATAATGCTAGATCTTCTTTCAGTTACATTTATGAGTATAATATTGAAATGAATGTTTTAAAATTATATAGAACTCTTAGAAATCAAATATGTTATTAGTCATAATTCTAGTTATCATGTTGTATACCACTAAATTACCAAATTTCCTTCTGAATTTCTGGCTATGGTGAACTTTTATCAGATTTTTAACCATGATTATTCCAGGCTTCTAATAACTTTATGATAAAAGGGCTAAATAAAAATTTTCAGAATTCTAATGGAGAAACATGAATTCATAAAACTGCTAATCAAGATCAAGCAAAACAAGAATTAAGTGAACTGAAACTAAGTGAACTGATAAAAAGTAATTTTGGCTTTGTATAGCCTCTTTATTTGAAATACTGTTAGTTCTTTTCTTAAACATTATTTCCAGTTTTAAGGATACTTTTTGTCTTAAATTATAGTTTACAGCAATTTGATAAAGTATATATTTGTGAACAAAAGTGAAAACATTTATTTTTTCTTCCTGCCTGATCCCTCCAGACTTCAGAAACTATTCCTGAGTATTCTTATTTTTATGACAATATAATTATTTACATAAGTCATTAAGAATCTGCTTTCCTTATAACAGAATACAATTGGAAACATTGATTACATTACCAAGGTTTTGCCTGAAATGTCATGTTTAAATTGTTATAGGTACTACCAACAATGTTTGTAGTCTACCTTGGTTTGGCTTCCTAGCCTCATGAGGTTTTTAAATCTGAGATTGGTATGTGGACAAATCCCTACATTTGCAAGCAAAATTAAACTATATGTAAAGAAATTCGTCTTACTCTGACCATCTTTAGTAAAAATCAGGATGACTATAGAGAGAAAAAGTTATGTTTCTAGAGACAAAATCCCTGTAATACACCTGTTATTAGATTGTAGCTCTGTGCCTTGTTTTCCTAATATTTTGAGTTCTTGTCATCTACCTGTAAATTGAACTGGATCCTAACTTCCTAATTTCCTTCAATATTTGGCTATAATTATCCAACTAAGAAAAAGAATTGCTCTGTTCCTAAAGCCCTAGAACCTGAAAGCAGACAATTTAGTATAAATTTCAAGGGACAAGTCTTGTGCCTGATGTATGGGCCACACAGAAAGTTCACCAAACTGCCTAACACCATACCAGGGACATTCAAACTGCAAACCAGGAAAAGAAGTTGATGGGCTCATGCTGTAGGCAACTTTCCCAAGACAAAGAAACAAGACTACCCGTCATAACGAAACTCTTGGCCCTTTAATTTTTCCCTTTTTATGCCTACCTTTTTTGCTTTTGACAGAATAATGGTGTAATTGAACTTTCACAATCAGTAAGTAGCTTCTGTTGGTAACTTGACAGAACCTGACCGAAGAGATCCTTTAGTATCTACTGGCTAAATGAGGAAATGTCTGTGCTATTGCTAATACTATATGCTGTACCTGAATAAACTCTTCTGGGAAGTTAAGACCCATATACAGAAAATGAAGAAAAACAGTTCACATGGTGAACTGGTCTCACCTAATTTCTCATGGTCATTTCATTTATTCAATTAGTTGCCCTTAAGCCTATGTTCATAGTTCAAGTCCATTATGCAAACTGGGGTTGTCATGTTAGTATTAATTTTATTTTGTATTTTCCTTTCTACACTTTGTACCTGTTAGTTTTCAAATTTCTGCAGAAGTACAATCCTAACATAATAATGTTCACTAAGGATGATTGCTTTAACCACTTCTATTTAGAACTGGAGGTTCAAACCAGGGCCCTTGGGCAAGAAAAAGAATAAAATGGTATCCACATGGGAAAGGAAGAAATAAATTTATCTCTGGTCACTGACAACATAGTCTCATACGTAGCAAACACTAAAGATTCACACACACAAACTGTTAAACTGCATACAAATTCAGCAAAGTTGCAGGATACAAAATCAACACACAAAAATCAGCTGTGTTTCCACACAAGAAAGAAAATAAGTTTAATTAGCTCATAGTTCCACAGGCTGTACAGGAAGCATGATGCTGGCATCTGCTCAGCTTCTGGGGAGGCCTCAGGAAACTTACAATTATGGCAGAAGGAGAATCTTCCATGTACCATAGTTTCTTTATCCAATCCACCATTGATGGGCACATACATTGAGTCCATGTCTGTGCTGTTGTGAATAGTGCTGCAATGAACATACATGTGCATGGGTATTTTTGGTTGAACAACTTATTTTCCTTTGGGTATATACTCAGTAATGGTATTACTAGATTGAATTACATTTTAAGTTGTTTGAGAAATCTCCAAACTGTGAAAGCAGGCTCTTGACGAAGTATTTGTACACCCAGGTTCACAGAAACACTATTCACAATGGGTAAAAAGTACAACAACCCAAATTCATCAACAGGTGAATAAATAAACAAAATATAGTATATACATGCAATGGAATAGTATTCAGCATTGAAAAGGAAGGAAATTCTGACA